GTTTGAGCTGCCTTCCCTGGGCCACCACCAGCCTCAGTTCCCGCACCTTCGAGGCACGCGTGTGTGCCTGCTACTAAATTAAACATTACTTTGCATTAAAGGAGCTGCCAGCATGCACAGAGCCCCCTCTGTGTAGATCAGAACGTGCAGAAATTTGCCACAGCAGCCAAAACCTGTGAGTGCACCTTGGGCTTCTCCAAATTCAAGAACACAGGATCTACAAGGAAAATTCGGGAGTCTTTGAAACATCACGCTTTAGGTGGATGGTAAAACACCGGGCTGAGAGCCTGGGTGACGGGCGATGCTGTGCAGAGCCCAGAGCGGCCCAGTTCTGCTCGGAGGAGAGAGCCTGTCATTCGTTACGACACGAGTGGCTGTGTAATTTATTGCCTGCCATCACAGAATGGCATCTTTTACCTTCATCTGCATTGCGGAAGGAAATATTCTGGGGTCCCTGTGATCAAGAATTACGGTTCAGTCCAAATGGGGTGGAAAATAGGTTATTACCAGGAGACAGGGAGCTTAGCGAAGTCTTGCATAGACATCTCCGAATGCGGTTTCCACTGTGAAAGGGTCAGTCTGCAGCATTGTTCCTGCTGGGCAAAGGAGCTGGCTAGTTGACCTGTTTTGTTCTCAGCTTGTACATGCCTGGAGACTAATACTGTAACATCAAGTATTAAATATTGCTTAGGAGAGGCCTCAGCTGCACATCTTGAATTAGGAAGGTTCTGCTTGCTTAGGAGCTCACTCGGCACGCGCATGCTACTCTGAACACAGATCTGATTTTACTGGAGCAAAACCTGCAGCACAGACAAACAGAACTGTTCACAGTTGTTCTGGATCAGCTAGGTTCGAGAGCGCGCCTCAGTCATGTTTGGAGAATTGGCCTCCATCTTAAATGCCAGTTAGCCTACCGCCATGTCTGTGAACTGTGGGAGGAAAATAAGCCGTAACAAATTGTTGTACAAAATGAATGTGTACTGCACATGAAAAAGAGCATATAAAAGTGAAATAAAAGAATCTGAATTTCTAATTAGTCTGATTTCTGCACCACAACGGAAATTCTGCTTTCTGTCCGTAGCATAATGTTATTGTTTTGTTCGAAGTATGGGAGTGATCCGATGTCGTCGTCGTTGTTTTTCCCAGGGCAACGGGAGCAGGGGGGATGAACCGAGAGGAGGCCCCAGGGAAGTCTCACGAGGAGATGTATATCCAGCAGAAGGTGCGCGTCCTGCTCATGCTGAAGAAGATGGGATCAAACGTATGTGTTTTCCGACTGCGTGACTGGTTCCGGGTGATAGGCAGGGTCGAGTCTCGAAAGGGGCTAAATCCCACTGGAACACTAACCCGTGGTTAAGAAAAAAAGGGAGTTTCCGGAATTGTGAAAAACGAGGATTAGCAAAAGCTGCGCATCTGTTCTCTGAGTTTTCTAACTGTTGACTGCAAGTTACCTCCCCCTGTTTCACACTTCCGCATGCTTCCTGCAGGCCAGCGACTGCTATGAGCTGCAGGATGCATACCCACTGTCAGACCTGCTTGTAGGAAACATGCGTACAACTGGGCACAGCAGTGGGCCTTGAGCCGTTTCTCTCGCCGTCTCTAGAACAGGCTCAAGAGAGCAGTTTGATGCGCAAGAACATAGGAGGGTAAAAATAAGAAAAGGCCATTCAGCCCATCTGGCTGGTTCGGTACTTAATAGTTTACTAATTCCCGGGACTCACCCAGCTGTTTCCTGAACGAAGCCGGAGTATCGGCTTCAAACGCATAGCTGGGTAGCTTGTTCCCCACTCCCGCTCCTCTTTGGGTAAAGGCGTGCCTCCCGTTCTCTGTTTAATTGCACTTGTGTCCCCTGCTCTGTATTTCGCTGTATTGTGGGGAAATCCACTGGGGTGGCTCCGCAGACGCCTCTGAGGCTCCCCCGTGGCCCCCTCGGCCCCAGGCGACAGAGGAGCGGTTCCTTCAGCCTGTCGCTCTTGTGTTCTGTTCCCCTTGCTCCAGCTGACGCCCAGCGAGGAAGCCTTCCTGCGGAATTACGCCGGCGTGGTTCACAGCCAGATGAGTCAGCTGCCGCAGCACCCCATCGACCAGGGTAGGTGCGCCTGCGCCCGGGGCAGGCCACGCCGGGACTCGGCCCGCGTGCCGCGACTCCCTCCTGCCCGCGACCTGCTGTCCACGTGCCAGCCCGAGCTGGTCCGGAGCGCCCCGGCAGAGATGACTGTTTAACACTGCGAGCGAGACCGGCCGTGCGCAAGTGGCATCTGTGTGTCGGGGGGGGGGCTCGGGCTTGTGCTCTGTTTTTTTTCACCGAGGGGAGGGGCCTAGCCGAGCGCCCCAGCTCCTTTCGGGGGATCGCTCAGGCTGTCTTCATCTCTCGCCGGCTGGCCCTGCCGGACAGCAGGGAATGAACCTGCCCAGCTGCGGACCAGTCAGCCCTGGTTTCTGGAACTGGGGATCAAAAGATCTAAGGCACGGTGTTGCTCCATCTCACTCACGTTCCCAACAGACTACATGTGAAGTAATACCAATATTTTCAAAAAATAACATTTCTATTACTGTGCCTTCTGACCAGAACGTCACCAGAACTGTTACCAGACCGAGTCGATATATCTGTTCCCAAAATTCATCGATATTCACCAAAGATTGGAAATGCCTATTCTGCTAAAGCATGTTCTGATTGAATATTTTTACAGCTCGCACAAAAATTAAGTATTGGCATAGCAGAGAGCTGAAGATGAGGAGCTGGCAGTGCTGTCGAGAATGCGAAAGTGATCCCTACCAGCAGACTAAAGGCTCTGTTAATTAGCAGCCTCCCTCCCTCTGCTTAGCGCCACACCCCCGAGAATGTTTGGCAGAACAGCGATCTGGAGCCTCTGTGTTTGAAGTCTGTGTGCTGAGCAGGAGACCCAGTGCAAGCAGATCCAGTGAGATGGTCTGGCAGCAGGAAGGCTGTCTTGCCTGTGCTTGGAAAAGGAGCCTCTGGACTGTGACGATTCACTCAGAAAACCAGGTCTTCACTCAGTCCTCTCAGAGGGATGCCATGTTTATACTGTGAATATTTCATCTGCACCTAAACATGTGCACCGGTGTTTTGATACCTGCCATTGCTGCATGCCGTAACTGAGCCGTGCGTACTGGTTTTGTGAGAAAATGCTTACCTGCAGTTTATCAATCTAACGCAGCATGCTGGCACACATTGTCACACAGGAGAAATCGTCCGTCGTGTCTATTTTTAGGTTGTGTTTAAGCCCCACTGTCTCCATTCGCACACAAAAGGCAATTTCCTTGTTAACCTCTGCATAAAAAGTGGGTAAGAGTGACATTGAAAAGCATGTGATGCTGCAGAATATTTTACCACTGGCATCAGTGGTGGCCCTAGCATAGAAGCTGCTGTTCCTGCAGGTTGTGCACTGAAAGCTGGAAGCATCGGGTCTTTAGTCTGCCTTGAGCATTGCGAGGTTGCAAGGAGGATAGGAAACTGAGTAATTGAGGTTCCAGACATATGAAAGATGGATTGATATGTGTCGATGCAACCCTCGAGGGTATTAATCAGGAGAGCTTGTGCGCATTAATATTCTTCGCCTGATCTGTTATTTTTTCTCCCTTGGACTTATCTGTATATCTAGCGATTTCTCAGTTCTGCGCCTTTTCCTCGTCAGGATGACCTTGGTTATTCCACTAACACGTGAAATTGAAGGCAGAATTAACTCTTTTCTTCTTGTTTGGGTTTGTGATGGTCATTTGCTTCATTTTAAACACCTTTTTTCTCCTTTGTTTTCCCCATCATAGAACTCACTTTTAATGGATTCTCTGCAGCCGGTGCACACTTCCACGTCACTGCTCGAGCGTACTTTTACATGAGCTGTGCTTATTGGCTTATGTGGCATTTCCAGCCCAAAAGGCGTGACATGGAACGTGATTGTTAATATGTGGTCAGGTGTGATCAACACTTGTGTGTTGCCACTTGTCTGTTGGCCTGTTAGCTTTGAAATTCCTCCAGCAGAGCGTCTCAGGGCCAGAACCCCAAACCTCCAGGCTCCTCTAGTCTGTGAAGCCGTGCAAAGCTGGGGCTTCTTTCTCTCCGCTTTCATGTAAAGCCAGGTTCTTAACTGCTGCATGATTAAAGGCATGTGTGATCACATTCTTTTTTTTTTTTTGCACGCTCCAGGAAAAATGAAATTGACAGGTCGTGCAGGAGCTGCTCTGGTCTCCTTCTGTCATTTTTTTCTGTGCACCTGCGAGTCTTGACTCTCCGTGTCGTCCTGGTCTCTCGGCTGCTTCGCTCAGGGAAGTGCTGCTTGCTTTCTCTCAAGCCCCACGGAAGGACGGCGTGAAGTAGCGCTTGGGGCTTGCGGACTCCTAGCTGGAAGGTTGTGGGTTCAAGTCCCTGTGGCAGGCTGTGCTGTCAGTACTCAGCCCTCTCGTGCTGCAGTGCATTATTGTGATACTGAGACAGGAGGTCATGATGCACTGTCTTCCTTTTATCTGATGTTCTTGCGAAGTAAAACACGAGACTGATTCACGTTTCTATTTTCCAGATCAAAACCCCTTTAATAAATCCAAAACTCTCAGCCTGTTTTGTCAATATTTAGCCGACTGCATATATTTTAGCCCTCAGGCTTGTGTGATGCCTCATGGCCAAGCTTCCGGATGTTTGTGCGTGCTCCGTTTTGTGCCTGGTATTTTGTGTTTTACCGTATCTTTAATACCTTATCTGCAGAGTGCTTGTGTAATTCACGGGATGATGTGACTACTTCGAAAAGGGACAGGATCAGATTTTAAATAGCTTCTTCTTTAATTTTATCTTCTCAAGTGGGTATTTACTTTTGGGGGAAAAATGACAAGTGAAATGGTGAATTGTACCCCTCACAGTGAAATAATGGAGCAATAATTCTGCGCTTCAGTTAGGCTGGTACAAATTTTTCATTAAAGCATTTTGATGGTTGTTGACTGTGGTTTGAAGTTAAATGAAACAATAATAAAGTTTTGGTTGGCTGTCCTGTTGAAGAATATAAACAGCAATAGTGGACACTTGAGGAGAAATATTTTGGGAAAACATCTCTTATGCCTGGAATGTGAATATAGAACTTGTAATTTGTCCACCAATAGTAAAAGCTTATTTGTATGCACAAAGACAGAATCTCAAGGCAGTGCGAATTCATATTTTAGTAAAAAATATAGCAATTTGGCAATTTGAGTAAAATAAAGTTGTTGTTTTTTAATAAAGCTTTGCTACAGTCCTACCACCTGCACGTTTTTCTTAAGGCTGTTCTTTGTGTTGGCCACTAGGGGGCAATGTGTTTGCAAAAATGAGACTGGCTGAAGCCCAATTGTTATGCTGCTCCACCATTAGTCTGTCCAAGAAGCAAATTGCTTGGATTAGTTCCTTTGATTTGAGAGAGCTTATCAGTTGCCTTCCAGATTTATTCTAATCGTCCTCGACATTTAGGTTTTGAATTTAGAGCCATGTCCACACGGTCCACTTGCTGGTGTTGGGCCAGGCAGGCCTGCCCGTCTCCTTCGCCCTGCTCTCCTGTTAAAAGCCAGCTTTGGGAAATAATCCACAGGCCCATCTCTTCCTGCCATCCTCTCTGCGGCTTCTTAAGCTGCAAAGGTTCATGCAAGGGAAAAACATTCTCTGCATCACCACCGGCTTCCAACCGAGTTTTAACGCAGAAGAATTGGAATATTCTATCCTTATCCGAGTCATTAAGCGCGGCATATTTTCAGCTCTTGCTACATGGCATTAAAGCTGCGAATCATGGGCTTTTTGTGACATAACATCCTTTTCCCCCTCCCTTCATGTACAGGAATGTAGATTTTTGGGGAGGTACTTCATATTTCAGGGTTTGTCATTAATTGCTTAGAAAAAACAGTGGGAAAGGTGGATTAAAACAGGATTGCAGTGGGACTGTCCCGATCATTAAGCTGCCCATGAACAAGAATTTGCTTGACTAGGGAAGAAGAATTACTCTTTGTAACAGAGTTGGCAAGTGTAGACGTTCCCCCCCCCCCACCACCACCACCACATATAATGTTTTCTCTTCCTTTTTCAGTTCAAGCCATTTTGTCATGGCTGTTTAGGAGCAGAAAATGTGTTCTCGAGTGCACAGTCTCATTACAGCACAGCACGGCCTGAACAACACGCTTCACAGGCTCGTTCCACCCCGAAACAAGAGAAGGGCAGAGCTGGAAGACGCAGTTTAACGGAGAACAATGGGAGATAATCTAATGTGAAATGCGATTAGGGATGAGGAAGCAGTCTGCAGGCAAGGACTTGGAAACAGCCAGAGCCTCTCGCGCGTGTAGCAGTGAGGGAGAACATCACCAGTGTGTGGAGTTAATGTCGCTCTGCGTGGATTTTTGCAAATATTAACAATGCCAGCAGCCTTTAGCTTACATGTAAGAGAAGGGCACATTGTATTTTTATTTATTTCTGTTCATAATTTGCAGGGATGCAGAAACCTGAATTTGGGCTCCAGCAAGTATATTGAAAGACAGGGGGCATTCATGACTCAGTGCAACCTACATGCGTTAAAAATCACTTTCATTTTGCATTTATGTTGATGTCCATGTACTGAAGGTGTGATTTTACATTTGAAAACACCGATTTGTTGCAGAAATAATTTCTTCAAACAGTGAGCACTCCTCTCTAAGACTAATTGCAGTGATCAGTTTTCTCTCAACCCAAGACCGAGGAAGGCTCTGAGATTTGCTAATGATCTGCTGTTCCTCGCTGGATTTGTTTGCTTGATTAAAATAGATGCTGGCACCGCAGACTTAAAATAAAAATTCCCCATTCCAAGGCTACAGGAATTCACATGAGCTCCCAAAGACACTTACTCACTGCCAAGAAGTTACATCTCACACCACCACTGAATAGCACAGAGCTGTCACTCTGGAGGGGCTTTTACCTGCATCTGGGTCAGTTTTCCTGTGCAAGAAAGCCATTAATAACCACTTTGCTTGTCGCTATAGATATTCCCGCTGCAGATATCTGTCAGAGCAAAGGTCCCAGGAGCTGCAGGGCGGTTTTGAAAGGATCTGCCATTACTGGAGTGCAATGAGATGAAATTACAGAGAGATCTGGGA